TTTTTTTTTTTAAACAGATTTGTTTTGCCCACCCTGACAAAAATGGCTATCATCAGTGTTCATTTTCTTTCATATTGTTGCTTACAGTTAATACAGTAGGTGTATAAAGTCTGTTTGTTTCAATGTTAGTCATGCTTATGATCAAGTCTGTCTTTTTGAATCTGTTATTTCAATTGTTCAGTCTTACACTTCCTAGCTAATTTCAATAAATCTGCTGAAGACAGTTTCTTAGTGGAAATTACTCCCCCTGGAAATATTGAATATAGTTGTATAGGCTTGTGATGTTAGCACGTGTTCATAATAAAATATATATTGCAGTGGCTAATGACCACCGAAGATCATGCTGGACTTTTTTTTTTTTCCTGTGTGTACACATGACTAGAACAGTTAGTGTGTTTTATTGTCTGGCTGTAGATGATACCAGTTTGGAGAAAATTCCCCCCCCCCCTTAACAAGTTATTTTTACAATCAGTTTTGAAGCAGTGGTTCACCTTCCTACAATTTGGTTTTTATGGAAGGTTTGTTTTGCATCAGGAATACACAGTAATACGTATTTTAATTCAGCTCATGAACGTCTCGTATTTGAAGGCACTGAGTTGGAAAGCACTTTAAACTTTCCATTGACATTTATACATTGTCTGATCATGGAAAGCGCACCTAAACTAAGGTTACATTCAAGAATAGGATTATTTGAGGTTTGGGGTTTTTTTTCCTTAAAATAAAAGTGCACACTGAACAAATGAAATGAAAATGGTATTGGTTTGTCAACCTTTTCCCTTCTGAATATATAATATATATATAGATATGTATACATTTAGTAGTACGGATGTCTATTTAGCCAGAAGTAATCTATCTTTAATACATATCAGGATATGTCTATTTTTACTGCAGATCTGAGTATTGGTTGTTTTTTTAATGCCTCATCTTTCAGGTTCTGTCAGTGTGATTTGTGGAAGAAAAGTAAATTCTAGTTTCCACCAGGACTGCTGTAGTTTAAATTTTAAAACAAACAAAGTATTAAGCACACGTACTGCAGTATAGTTTTCAATATACTTTCTGTTTGGAAGCCACAAAAAGGAAGCCTGTGATTAAACTTTGAAGTTTCATTAGCCCTAGTGATTTACATTTTTGTAAGGCCAGATTCTAGTGTTCTAGATTTGTTAGCAATTCCTCTGATGCAGTATCAGTTTTAATTGAAGTACAACAGAATCAAACCTTGTCCACAGTATTATCTCTAATAAACAGTTTAGAGATTCGACAGAAATGGCTAGATTGAAAGACAGTAAAGGATACGTATGGCGGTGAAGAGTCTGATCCATCTTTCCAATATGTTATTAATGATGTCAGTTCAGTTTTTCTAGTGTAGTTAATTTTCCCACATTCACATTTAAGGGAGTTCATTTTTTGTGGGATTTTTCAAACGGTGCTCTTCGGTTAATTGATTTTGTTGTGTTTATACCGCATGGGCTTTTATTATGGCCAGAAGTACTCTAAGGTTTTCACGTACCTTATTTTCTTCTTTTAAAAATTATTTTTTCTACCAAAGAAAGTCAATTGCAGAGTTGTTTTTTTATTACCTTTTTAAGTATACAGTAGGTAAGATAGATAGATAGAGATATATATATATATATATACACACTACCTATGTAGAAAGGATCATATGGCTATAGTTTACTCGGAATACAGATGAGTAATTGCATATTAATTGCTGCGTTTGAAATTATTATACATCCTTTTACACTGTACTGTAAATTGTATAGTCACTTATTCCCTGGTACTGCGTCATTTCATCAACTCCAGTAAACGTCAGTTATTTATTTTGATATTCTTTAATTTTGGAACTGTAACAGTGAATTGAAAATATACTCTTTTTTCCTGCCCTAAACTTTAAATAGGACGGTACATTTTTCCTATGTTTGAATGTTTTAGCATTTTATTAATGAAATGTACAATCCTATCTCCTGTCAGAACATAACTTTTTTAAGTTGCTCCTTCTATTAGGCAGCATAAGAGCATTGCAGTTGTCTTCTGATTTGTTCAGATTTTACAGATTTATTTTTTTTTTTTTTAACAACTGTTGCATTCTAGGCTTTCTTTCATTATAAAATTGCGTTGAAGCACGTTTTTTGTTGTTTGCATACAGGGTTTATCCAGATACTAAAACTGAGGATCTTTCTTGATGTTGGAGCATCTTTAAGGCAGCCTTAAGTATTCCTTTACTTATTTAGGAAAAAGTTTTTTATCAGTCTGTCAGCAATTTAGAAATTAATCATATGACATCAGAATTATAGATTTATGCTGTATTGCATGGAGAGCAGAAACAGTGTTACAGTCTTATTCCTGCCTCCAAGACTTCTGATGGTTGATTGTATATACTAGATCAGTAGAGAATGGTGCATCAGTAACTACACTGTTCAAAACACTTTTTTTACCAGCTGTTTGCTTCTCTGTACCTTTGGAAATGCCATAACCCATGGGCATCATTATAACAAAGCTGAGAATGCTCTGTCAAAACTCCAAAAGTAATCACTACTACACTGGCTTGGATCTTGTGCCAGGTTCTGCTAGCAATGACTCCCACCGCTTGTGGTAAAGCTTCTCTTTGGCTTTAATGCAACTGTGTTTGAGATTGGGGGTCCATGTTAGCATATCCAGAAAAAGATCTGGCACTTGTATGCAGTATGTGAACTCTATTCAGGCATTGCATTTTAAATGTGTACAAGCTAATTAAGATGTTATGCAACAAATTATAGGTAAATATAAGTTCATAACTTAATAGTATAAATGTGGAGGATCTGCATGTTCTCATGATTTTGTTTCTCCTTAATGGGACACTTTCAAGTGGGTGGGCATGGGAAAAATCTTTTTTTCATTTGGTAATTGGGATAACCCTGAAAAACCCCTCTTCTTGTTTCTTTCACTTGTTCTGGTGCAAGAGCATGTTATGTTTTGACCCTTGGCTTTTTCTCATTTCAATTTCACTAATTCTATTTCTATAATATCTAAAATATAGGCAGAATAAGAGTCTGGAATAGCTGCTAGGTAAAATGTCTGTAATTGTGTAAGCAAGCCAAATGATTTAAAAGAATGGAAAAAGGAGGTAAATTGTATCCTTGGCCTGAAGTACAAGTGTGTTTTTTGTTGTTTTTTTTTCCTTTTGTCAAAGGCACAGCTACCTTAATGTCTATGATCTCTTACATTTTTTCTGCCACTTTAAGGAAAATGTACTTTCTGTGCAAAATGTATGTCTTACCTATTTAAAATGCCTAAATTAGTTGCTAGTTACTTTCATGAAGATCTCCTTATTAAGTGCATTTTAATATCAGTAATTTAATGAACAGCATTCCTTGCCCAATGGATGTATACATTTTTTGAGAGAATAGCAGAATTATTATATAATATGAAAAGCTATGTAAAGTTTTCTACATAAAATTATGTATAATACTGTTATAATATTCCATGCTTTAATCGGGTGGTAAATCAATAAAATTTTAAAACTGAAGTTTGCTTTTTAATTCAGTGGTTAAAACTTGTATGAAACTATTTGCTGTATTCTGTTTGGAATATAACCATTCACGGGTACAGACTTCTTTTGAGTCTTTCATGTATGTTGAGTAGCAAATGCATGGAAATAGTGAGTTAAGAAGTGTAACACAGAAATATATTTTTTTCCCTTAGAGCTGACATGGAAATACATTTTTGGCTAGTTAACCACTCATTCTGCTCATTATTAGCAATGGCTTAATTAACCCAGTGATTTCCCAACCTTTTTAGACTCAAGGCACCCGAGGGTTGGGGGCCGGGAGGGATGCTAGCTATTAGTGAAATTTAAACTCTTCACTACTGAAATAAAACAATTCTTGTGTTGTAAAGAAGTGAGACCAAAAGAGGTCAGAATGCCTTTGACACGCTGGATTATTTTAGATATCTGGTGACTCATGTGTAGGCATGGCAGTTGCACACCTAATATTGCACAACACTCCCAAAATGATTTAATGGCTTCTTGGTTGAGAATCACTGACTTAACCATTAATATAATGGAAGGGTGCTAAACCATCCATAATTTAAATCATTTAAACTTATGGAAGTTTTTACCATTTTTTTTGAGGATGTTCCATGTAGGTGGCAGCTTTTAAAAGTACACAGAGTAGCTCACTATTCATGTTTCATTAAATGTAAGCTACTAATAGACAAAGGCCACACTATTTGTAAAATTCCCTGCAACTCTTTTCTATGAAGAGCAAAAAAGTGCAAGTCCTTACTTACTAAGTTTGCATAAGAGGTTTCCTTTCCTAGGCTTCATTTCCATAGAGCAGTCTGTGAGGAAGGGCTGGATGGTAATGCCTGTTAATTCACTAATCAAAAAGTCTGATTTCTTGATCAGTACCCTCTTCAAATTACAAAGCTCACTAGAGCTGTATTTTTTGTAGGGGCCTGGCATGTTGAGATTAGGCAAAACATATTTCCTCTAAAGGTGGCCTGTAAATAGCAGGTTCCTGCCTGCTCCTCTAAAATGTTAGTAAAATGAGTAGTTTTTGTTTTTTACTTTTTAACATGAAATACAGATGAAGCAGTAATTGAAACAACCAGCTGATTAATTTATGGTTTTAAAATACCCCTTGGGCACAATTCTAATATTATAAAAGCCTAAGTCTGGCTGTCTGTAACACTTTATTCGCACTCTGATTGGCTGATGGAAACAGCCAATCGGAGTGCTCCAAGCATGGGGGAGTGCTGCTATGATTCCGAAGCCCCACCAAGGACCGGAGAGAGTGGAGAGCAGAGGTCAGCAGTGCTGGCCTCGACTTCCCCACCCTGCTCCCTGCAAGTGGCGCCGAGGACCGGATGGTGGGAGGGGGCCAAGGCCAGCAGGTCTGGCCTTGGCTCCCCACCCCACTCCCTGCAAGAGGCAGAACAGCGGCAACATAGGGCATTAGGTGGCGGCACTCCATCCCAACCCCCTTTTCCCGTCATTCTTGATGGGCAATTGGCTAGTTGTAATATAAAACTGTTTCTCTCCTCTCCTGGGACAGGTAGAGATCTTGTCTTAATCTACGTCCGTATTTTGTAGTTCTGCTACAGTAAAACACTAGTTTTAAGGGTTCTCAGTTTAAACTCTTCCCGCTGCATTGCTTCATATAAGCAAAATGTAAGCTTAGGTGAAGCCCTAAGGCAGATAATATGCATTTTGCCAAAAGTACAAATTCCTTACCTAAATTTTCTAATTTTTTGTTGATTCCTTTTCTTGCCCTAGCAGGAAAAATGTCACGGCTTTGAGAATAAAGGAAACTAGCTTCCTCGCATAAAGAATTAAAAGGTTCCATACCAACCATGTGGCAATATTAGAAGAATCACAATGGGTATACTACAGTAGACTGTCCTTCATCAGTTTGTCTTCAACATGTCCTATTAAGAGAATGCATAAGACTATGCATAAAAATTTATTGTGGTGGCTTGTCTTCTAAAACAGCATTGTTTTAGCTTAGTGATGCCTAGGGTCAGTATCACAGGGTGACTTGTTTTGCACTTCTCAATTTATTATGTTATAAGAATTAAGTAGTCTTTACTGGAAAATAGCATTAGAGGAGACCTCCTGGTCTATAAAGCCCAGTCTTCTGCTATTGCAAGCACCCATGTACTATAAATTCCTCTTAAATCCTACTGGAAGGCTGTTCCAGAACATCCAATCTCTGTTGGCTAGAAACTTTCTCTTACTTTCCAGCCTAAATGCAGTGGGTCTTCACCTCCTTAGACTCCATGTACCCCTGGGAAAGTTCTAGCTTTTAATTTTCACTTTTTTTTGCCTAAAGAAAAATAGTGCCATTTTTCTGTTGTAAAGACCTCCAAAAGACTGCAACTGTGGATCTCTATTTGAAACCCCTGGGTTTATCTTGTGAATCATGCTTGTAAATCCAACAGTACTAACATTGCATAGTACCTGTTGTTTTTGTTGCTGAAGTCTCGGGAACTGGTGCCAGCAAAAATCGCAGGTAGGAGATTCCAACACTAATCTTACCTTCAAGACTAACTATAGGCTTGGTAGTCTACAACCGCCATTCTAACATGTTTTGGCCTAACAGGTACACAAGACCAAGTGTTAAAAGCATTTGTGTTTGTAGTAAAGTAGGTGGCATACCACGCAGACTGCCCTGGGCTGCTCGCTGAGCTTCTCTATTTCCAATTCAAAACAAATCATCTGTAACCTCCCACCTGGGCTTGCTACACAGCTTTTCTAGGTGTTCCTGTTCCAGCCTAATGCTGGTACTACACTACTTATACCTAGTACCCATCTGTCAGCAGGAGTGAGCACCTGGCAGAGTTTGGCTCAGGTTCGCTAGTCAGGCCTTCTCCAGCCAACACCTTAGCAAAGCCTTTGTGTGAGCAGTACATATTTGCCAGTGCCCCCGGTATGCCTACAACCTAGAACACTCCCTCCATGGGGTTGCCAGGCGCCCCAGGGTGCTGTTTCCCCGGTTGAGGAGCACTGGCTCGTGGCTCTGCTGTGCTTGAGCTTTCAATGGCAAGAGGGGGGCAAAAGTGGCGCTGGCTCCTGTGGTGGCCCAGGCTCCGGCACAGCAAGCACGGAGGGGCGCTCACCGGGTTAACGCAGGGCGCAGCCGGCCGGGTTTCTGACCGCCCGCGGAGGCAGGGGCCAAATCTCAGCGGCTCTGCGCAGTGACCCGCTGGGATGTCCCGAAGGCGCCGGGCTCCGCTTCCAGCAGCAGCGGCTGCTCCCGCTTGATGCCTGCAAGCGAGACCGGGCCGCCGCACGCAGCTTACCGGGGAGCCACTGGCAGTTTACACGTGGGCTGCCCCAAGCCCCGGGTGCATTGTGGGAGGCGACCGATGATTGGCCGGGGCTCCTCTAGAGGCAGGCGGACGCGGATTGGTTCGAGCCGGGCGCGTTCCAGAAGCTGGTCGCCGATTGGCGCGTAGGGCCGTGCTGCGTGATGCGGTCACCGCGCCGGCGCCGCGCCCTCTCGCTGAGGTTTGAATGTGAAGCGGAGCCGGAGCGCTCGCAGCCGCCGAGGGGGGCGTCGGCCCGCACCCGGGGCCCGCGGCGCAGAGGGAGGCGCACACAACCATGCTGTCATGGCGCGGGCCCGCCTCTTGCGCCTGGGCCCACGCCCATTGGTCCGTGGGTCGAAGGAGAGCGCAAAGTGCCTTCGTGATTGACCCGCACCCCTGTCAGTCGAGGGCGCGATAAGTTTGTGTGGCCTGACGCGAGGGGGCTGCTTCAGGTGCTTCCCCCAGGCCTGGAGCGCGCGGGGCCCGTCCTCGTCCCCCCATCCTCTGGGCGGGCTCCCTGCGGGGGGCAGCGCCGTGCTCGGCCTTGTCCGCTCCCCCCACACGCTGCTTAAATTCAGCAGACCTCCCCCACCTCTCAGGCTGGGCCTGGCTTACCTCATCGAAGGGCCTCCCTGGGCCGTTGACAGGGAGGAGGGCGGGTGTCGCCCCAGGGAGCGGACGGGGCCAAGGCTTATGCGGGGAGGAGAAAGCTGTGCTGACGGAGGGAAGGCCTAGTTTAGAGCTAGGGGCAAGGCAGGAGGGAGCGTGGGGCCCCCCTTCCCCTTGCATTAACGCTGGCTGGGAACGAAAGCAGGGTCCTAAAGATGTGGCGCAAGTCGTGAAACCATGGCCCTGGCAGGGAGACCCCCTCAGATGGTCAACTGTAAGACCCGCGTGCACCGCCCTGCGTTCAGTGCCTTTATGCTTCTGTTGCCCATCCGAAATGGGGACAGGATGGTAGCTCCACTGAGGAAGTCAATCCGCTGGATTGTTGTTTTGGGAGAGGGTCGAGATGCAGGAGTGGGGAGCAAGTTTTTAGTAGAGGTATGCTGATGTATCAGGTCGGCACCGATAACAGGAAAATTTAATATTATCAGCAACTGGCTTTATTTGGCCGACAATGTCACCGATAAATGCCGCATGTGCGTCTGCAGCTGTTGCATGGATGCGGCCAGGAGAGCAGCCCAGCAGCTTGCAGGGCAGCATCCGGCCGGTAAGTCTGTGGGGGAAGGGGCGTGGGGAGAACAGATAGCCCCCACCGGGTGAGGGAGGGAGTGGGGCAGGTGCTGCCCAGCCGAGGTGGTGAATGCAACCCTGCGGGCAGCTCATCCTGGAAGC